AGCGTTCAAATCCTCGTACTCACCGCGGTAGAGGATGCAATCATTAGGCCATGCATGTATCTTCTGCACCTCTAACCCTAGAGGGCAGACAGCCTTCTTTGCTTCGTATGTACTCTCGGGCAATTCGTTGTCCTTTGGAAGCATATCCTTTATCATTACCAGCAACTTTCCAAATCTCTTGTCAGATACACCATTCTCTGCCTTCCATTGCAGCAATTCCAGTGTGGTGCCCAGCTTTTTCTTGTCACCTAGGCAATTCGGGTACAACAATTTTTTGTGATCCTCTAACATGCGCTGCAACTTCTTCTTCTCCAAATCACTTGCGCAGTTTCTCTTTGCATCGGCAATGGCCCGACCTAGATCATCAACGGGCTCATCTGATGCCTCTTCTTCAGATTCTTCCCGCATTACCGGCTCAGCTTCTTCCCCCATTGTTGTATCATCGTATCCAGGGAACCCATGCCCAGGATAGCTGTCGTCGTCCTCTTCTTCTTCATTGTCTTCCATCATAACCCCTCTTTCTCCATGCTTGGTCCAAACATTATAGTGGGGCATGAAACCGAACTCAAACAGGTGGACGTGAATGGTTCTTGACGTAGAGTAATTGCGACCATTCTTACAACCAGCACATGGACAAGGCATAAAACCATCCGCCCGCTTGTTTGCCTCAGCCGCAAGCAGAAAAGTATGCACGCCCTCAACAAACTGGGGAGAGCATCGGTCATCGTACATCCATTGCCGGCTCATCTTCATTACACAACACCGAATAGACCAAATTAATACAAGTTCATACATAAAGTTCATACAACACTTAAATGCAACAAACAAATAACTCTCTAGCTAAAGCATTTAAATGCAACAACAAATGCGATCAAGATCGCAACTAAGGTAACAATTGATCCAACAGCATAATGATACCAAGCCTCACTATCGATGGCATATTTTCTAATCTTTCTAATCTTCAAGCGCATTTTCTCCATCTTGATCTTGTGATCATCGACGACATCGGCAACATGCAACTCCAATTCCATCTTCTCCCCCTCAATTCTTTTCAATTTTTCTTTCAAGTACTCGTTTTCTCTTTCAACTAAATTTAACCTCTCGACAATAGGGTCGGTTGGAATTTCCGGTTCACATACCTCCTAGATAAAAATATCTATGTCAACTTGATGGGCATAATTTGTCATAAATACGAAATGCAACAAATAGTTTTAAAAGAAATATACCACATCCGAATCATAACAAGGACGAGGGCCGACGGGGACGGATATCAAAACCATGGCACTATGTATAACAAACAACGTACGGGTAAGATAATTATTACACGAGTAACTATATATCCAAATCACACAAACATCAATTTTTTATATAAAATTTCATGAACAAGAGGCTCACCACAAGCTGGTGCCGGCGACGGGACGGTGCGGACGATCGACGGTGGTTACGACGGAGATTTAGAAGGCACTAAGTAAACCACACCTACATATGCAAACTAAGTGTTATTTTGACCTCAAATTGCATATAAATCAAATACTAGCACATATATATATTTCCTCCCAAATTACTAAACTCACAAATTAATAACTATATAAAGCATTGCAAGAGCTAATCTAGCAATGAGAGATGAAAGGACAAAGTTGCTAACCTTTGTGATCACTTGAATGGATGGGGGCCTTCAAATCTTGACAAATTTTGGGCAAAATGTGTGATGAGCTCGAGGGGAGAAGAGAAGAACAGAGAGGAGAGGAGAGGGGAAAGGGGGGGAGAACAGAGCGAGCTGGACGAAGGGTTTATATGCAGGAGGACCTATAGTACCGGTTCGTGGCACGAACCGGTACTAAAGGTGCTAGAGGGGGCCCAGACTGACAACATCCTGCCACCACCCTCATTAGTACCGGTTCGTGGCACGAACCGGTGCTAAAGGTTAGCCATGAACCGGTACTAATGAGAGCGGCCCGGCTAGCCGTTTGAACTGGCACTAATGTATACATTTGTGCCGGCTCTAATACAAACCGGCACTAATGTGCTTCACGTTTGACCCTTTTTCTACTAGTGCTTCCTTTTCTCATCTCTGAAGAACAGAGTGCTTTCGTGCCTGGGCGCTTGATCTCCGACAATGTGTTGGTGGCATATGAGTGTGTCAATGCTATTCAGAAGAGCAAAAGGAAGAAGAGTTTGTGTGCTATCAAGCTGGATATGATGAAAGCCTATGATAGGGTGGAGGGGATTTTTCTTGAGCAGATTATGGCACAATTTGGCTTTGCTCCGCTGTGGGTTTCCATGATTATGCGGGGTGTGACCTCGTCTCGTTTTTCTGTAAAGCTTAATGGTGGGCGTTCAAGGAGCTTTTTACCCTCCCGGGATATGCGACAGGGCTTTGTCACCATATCTGTTTCTATTCAGTGTGGAGGGGTTTTCTGCATTACTTAAGAAGGCTCAGAATGACAAAAAGCTAAAAGGTGTGAAATTTGGGAGCACTGGCCCCCACATAACTCAACTCTTGTTTGATGATGACAACATTGTCTTCTTGGAGGGCATGAAGGAGAACATGAAGACCCTCAAAGAGATCCTTACCAAGTATGAAAAAGCGTCAGGACAAAAGGTAAGCTTGCAGAAGTCCTCCATTTTATTTGGGAGGAGGAGCCAACCTAGGATGAAGGAACAAATGAAACAGGCAGTGGGGATTCAGTCTGAAGCTCTGAGTGAGCGTTATCTAGGCCTCCCAACACTGGTTGGAAGGTAAAAGGATGGCACTTTCAAACACGTCACCGGATGCTCTAAAGTCAAAGTGTGTGGGTGGAAGGGTCAAGGATTATCAAAAGCAGCTAGAGAAGTACTTGTCAAATCTGTTCTGCAAGCGACTCCAACTTACACCATGAGTTGTTTTCACCTCTCGAAGAAGATGTGCCAGAATCTGACTTCGATCTCCTCTAAATTCTGGTGGGGTGCAATGAATGCTGAGCATAAGGTCCATTGGATCGCTTTGCAGAAGATGTGTGCAAGCAAGCAGGATGGAGGCATGGGATTTCGAGACCCCGAGGCATTTAACCAAGCTTTGTTGGCTAAGCAAGATTGGCGTATTTTGCAGGTGACATCCTCCCTTTGTGCTAGAGTCCTTAAAGCTAGGTACTTCAAAGATGACTCAATTCTGTCTGCATCGTGCCCAGCCGCGGGATCATTCACTTTCCGTAGCATCCTGCATGGTCGAGACCTCCTCCGCGAGGGTCTTATTTGTAGAGTAGGGATAGGGGCGCATATCAACATTCATCATTACCCATGGATCCCCCATAGCAGGAGCACAAGGCCACTGGGCCAAGTGTACATGCAGGGCATTAACAAGGTCACGGACTTGCTAAACCCTGATGGGATGACATGGAACGAGGAAGTGGTGGATGCGATGTTTTCTTCAGATGATGCAGAAGATGTGAAGCAAATAGCTATAGGAGGACCGAATGCTAAAGATTTTCTCGCATGGAATCTTACCCGAAATGGGGTGTTCACGGTCAAGTCAGTGTATCATCTAAGAATGTCTATGAACAGAGCGAGGTCTGGACAGCCGGAGTCCTCGAGCTCGATAGCAAAGCACAAGGGGTATTTGGCGCTGTGGGAAACGAGTGTTCCTAGTATGGTCAAGATCCATATGTGGTGTTTGATACGAAATGGTCTTGTTGTAGGTTCAGAGCTTCATCGAAGGCGGATCAAGCCGAGCGTTTTTTGTGTTGTGTGTGCCCGCGAAGAGACCATGATGCATAAATTCTGGGGCTGCCAACATTCAGTCTTGTTCTGGGAGGAGCTGAGGGTGCACATGGGGTTGGCACTTGAGTTGCCACCCAGGCATATCGAAACGCAACGAGCCCTAGCCTCTTGGTTGCTTGAATGGTTTGCTCGTGCTTCTAGCGACGAGAAGGAGTTGATGCTCCAAGCAGCTTACAGCCTTGGGCTAGCAAGAAACGAGGCCAGAGACGGGAGGAGGATCGCACAACCACATGAAATTATAGCTACAGTGCAGATGCAGATTTCGGATTGGAGAGCATCACATGAGATGAGGGCGCCACAACCGGAGCGAAAAACCGTTCAGCGGTGGGAACCTCCTGAAGCTGGCTGGGCGAAGATCAACTCCGACGGCGCGGTCTCCAGGAATGGGGAAAGAGGAGGAGGCGGCGCGGTCCTGCGGGATCACCAGGCGGCGTTCAGAGCCGGGTCATGCCAACTCTTCCCAAAATTTTTTGATCTTGAGATGGTGGAAGCTCTAGCATGCCGAAGTGCAGTCCGCATGGCGATCAATCTGAACGTAAGGAGGGCGCATGTCGAGCTGGACAGCCTAGCTCTTGTGCATATGCTTAATAATCCGTAGAAGAACCTCTCTGCGGTTGGGCCATGGGTTCAGGAGATCAAAACCTTGCTCCGTGGTATGGACGAGGCCAAGGTGACGTGGATTTGTCGATCGAGGAATGTTGCCGCTCCTAAACTAGCGAAAGTAGGTGCAGGAGAGTGACGTTCGGAGATTTGGGTGGAATCACCATCAGACTTTATTTTAGATGTAATTTCAAACGAGATTCCTAGCTTTGGTTAAATAAAGCGGCATGATTTTCCCCTAAAAAAACTCATAAAACCATGAAAGTATTACACGAAACTACACTACCTTTCCGCTTAGATGATCACACCTCCTGCTCACGAAAAAGTATAGAAATTTCCTTGGAAAATAACAACCTTTGGCCTTTGGCTTTTGAAATGAACATCGAAGGCATCAGCATTTTTGTCGAAAGTAATTATTCCACGAGCCTCGAATAATCCTAGCAGACGAACCCACGTGTTTGGTGGGTCCGTATGGGCATGCATGCAGCACGCAGCCAATCAACGATCGGCAGAGAGAAAGAGACGTCGCATCGTTGGGCGGGCCGACACCGGGACGTGGTGGCAGAAAAAGAGAGGGCCGCGCGGCATTATCGTCCAGCGCGAGGAGAAACCGCGTCGACCGGCCACCGCAAACAGCAAACGCAATGAAGCCCCCCGGGCGCCTCGCCACCGCCGCGCTGCTCGTCGCGGCGTCGCTGCTGGTCATCACCCTCCTCACCTCGCCGCTGCCGCTGCTGCCGCTGCTCCCGTGCCTGCCGGCCGTCACGGCGCCCTCGGGCGACGGGTACGCGCCCCCGGGCCTCACCGCGCTCGCCGACGCCGCGCTCTACTACGCCACCACGCCCGACGTCCCGCAGCAGTCGCGCGACGAGATCTCGCTCTCCCTCGCCGTGCTGCGCCGCCGCGCGCCGCTGCGGCTGCTGGTGTTCGGGCTCGGCCACGACTCGCCGCTCTGGCACGCGCTCAACCCCGGCGGCGTCACCGTCTTCCTCGAGGAGGACCCGGAGTGGTACCGCATCGTGCGCGCGCAGTCGCCGTTCCTGCGCGCGCACCTCGTCAGGTACCGCACGCGCCTCGACCACGCCGACGTCCTCTTCCGCTCCTACCGGAACTTCCCCACCTGCGTCCCCGGCGCCGACGCCGAAGGCGACGTCCCCTTGCGGGTCCGCGGCAACGCCGACTGCCCGCTGGCGCTGCACAACCTGCCGCCCGAGGTGTACCAGAACGACTGGGACATGCTCATGGTGGATGCGCCCAAGGGGTACTTCCCGTCGGCGCCCGGCAGGATGGCGGCTATATGGACGGCGGCGGCGATGGCGCGGGCCAGGCGCGGCGAGGGGGACACCGACGTGTTCCTCCACGACGTGGACCGCAGGGTGGAGAGGATGTACGCCGAGGAGTTCCTCTGCGAGAGGTTCCGGGTGGGGGAGACCGGCCGGCTCTGGCACTTCAGGATCCCGCCGGTGTCACGGCGGAACGGCACGGCCGGCGGCGGCGACAAGAGGCCCTTCTGCTGACGATGCGGACTTCCGAGGGGTGTTGTTAGAAGATGGCCTCATCGGTGCAAGTGTAAGCGCCCTGTTGCTGTTCTTCTTTATTGATTGTACTGTACAAGTCGGGCACAGCACACAGTATGCTCATGTGCTGAGTTGACAGGTGTAGTAATTAGGCGCTTTGCTTGCTGCAAAAATATACTGTATGAAATAATAAAGGGACCTCACGTGTCCTTTTTTTTTTGGGTGAAGGGGCCTGGTAGAAGTGGGCTCAGAAACAGGCTGTGGTGTAATCAGTCATATTTATTACTCCCTAAGATGGTTGTGTATATACATCTTGTATTATGAGACGGGAATACCTTAGAGCAATTAAAGATAATATAAACAGGTTGTAAGCATTTAAATGACATATTTTTGGTTGAGTTGAAAGAGAGGAAATGATAGACAAGAGAACGGGTTGTAGATTAAGAGTCAACTGCAGCACGAACTCCAAAGAACTCGGCGAAATTGTGAGGTGGGCTATATATTAATAAAGAATACATATTTTTAGCTAACTACTCCCCATTCCCAAAATATAAGGCGCGGTCAACGTTTTCTGATCTTTGACACAATTTTGACTATGATTTTCGCTTATAGTATGTCGATAGAATTAATATAAAGGTTTATGAAATAAAACCATTTGTAAGACAAATATGATGATATCATTTATACAAGCTAGATCCATATAATTTTGTTTATATTAGCAGTCAAAGTTGTGCATCAAAGAGGCCTTTCTGCTGACGATGCAGGTTTCCGAGGGGTGTTTTTAGAAGATGGCCTCATCGGTGCAAGTGAAGCCCTGTTGCTGTTCTGCTACCATGTTCTCTTTATTGATTGTACTGTACATGTCGGGCACAGCACACAGTGTATGTTCATGTGCTCAGTGCTCAGTTGACAGGTGTAGTGCTTGCTGCAAAAATATACTGTATGAAATAATAAGGGACCTGACGTGTCCTTTTTTTGGGGTGAAGGGGCCTGCCGGCCTGGTAGAAGTGGGCTCAGGAGCAGGCTGTGCTGTAATCAGTCATATTTGTCACTCCTCCGTCCATCCCATAATATAGAACATGCGAGTATATTGAGGGTCTCTTTGATTCAGAGGATTTTTATAGGATCTTTAAAGGATTAGAATCTTTAGGAATTTTTCCTACGTTGATCGTTTGATTCATAGGGTTGAATCCTGTAGGATTTTTTTCTAAGGATTCATTTGTACTACATTTTATAGGAATTCTAACATCCACTCCAACCTCTTGGAAGAAATCCTTTGTTTTTCCCGTGACACAATCAAACAAACCCAAATCTTAGGGCCTCTTTGATTCACAGGATTGCAAAAACACTGGAATAGAAAGAATACAGGAAATCTATAGGGTTGCAGTTGTAAAACAGAGGATTGAAAAACAGTGAAAGTATAGGAATATGAAACAAATGGAACGTTTGAAATGCAGGAACTGAAATCAAAGGAATGCATTATTTAGTAGAGAAACCATGCGCTGGTATGCAACTTTGTTCCTCTTGCCTCGGTCTTTGTGTAAAAAAGAGGTCTGACTCAATGTTTCACTTCATGTGAAATCACAGGAAACCAACAGTGTTTCTCTGGATTGCAACAGTATTCCTCCATACTTGTTCCTGCAAATCAAACATCGCTACAGTAGCAAATCCTATGGAATGAGAATTCCTGCGTTTTTCCTATGAAAAATCCTTCAAATCAAAGGAGGCCTTACAGGGATCCAATGGACATGCCATTTCAATCCTACGTTTTCCCTATTTCTGTGTTTTTGCAATCCTATGAATCAAAGAGGCCTGATTGTATTATGAGAAGGGAATACCTTAGAACAATTATAATAAGATAATACAAGCAGGTTGTAAGCATTTGAATTTGAATATTATATTTTTGTTGAGCTGAAAGAGAGGAAATGATAGCTAAGAGAAACGAGTTGTAGATTAAGAGTCAGCTGCAGCCAAAAAACTCATTGAAAAAAGGATAAATGACTTTAAAAAAATCAAAAAAATTGTGCGGTAGAAAATTTGATGCGTGAGGCCCGCTTCAAATTTCGAATCATTTGGACATTTGAGCAGCTCTCAGCAAAAAAAATAAATCGGACCAAAACAGTACATGAACAGTAAACTATTTTACAGACAATCAATTTGTCTTTTTTGCTGAGAGCTGCTGAGATGTCCAAATGAATTGAAAATTGGAGCGGACCTCACACATCAAATTGTCTACCGTACAAGTTTTTCTTGGAATTTTTTGAATTTTTCTAGTATTTGTTTTGATTTTTTTTGTTGCACGGGTGCAGCCTCGCATTCGATCCCCTCGATGAAGATGCACTCTCCCTGCACGACCTCGAGCAGCCACAACCGCCATCACCGTCCCCGCGCGGCCACGCCCCGCCAGGCCTCGTGGGAGTTCGTCGAGTGCATGATGGGTCTCCGGCTCTCCGCTAGCAGCAACAGTCGCCTGCTACCACGCCCCGGCCCTCCTCCGGTTTGTGGTCGGTCATGGGGTCAGCGGATCTCGCCGTCCAGGCCTCCGCTGGAGTAAGGTGACGACCACCATCGCCCGGCTCCGCCACCATCGTCGATAGATATGCCGAACACACTCATACCCATCGTGTCTCGCTCTCACCTCCTTCCCGGTCCCGACAAAGACAAACTCGCCCTACAAACCATCTGCACGACGTCGCCGCTGCCACTCCGATCTCTCTCTCACCCCGTCGGATGCCGCTGCCTCTCTCTCATCTCTCCCAATCTGATGGCGGTGATGGGAGGAGGAGCAGCAAGGTGGCGGAAGGAGACGGGATCAAGAGGAGAGAAGCAAGTAGCAGTGTCGACAACAAGCGTCAGTGGCTGATTTGGCAGGGAAAGGAATGAACGACAGATTGGTGGCGGCTGATTCGGCGGCAACAGAGCAGCCACGACTAGCCTCTTCACCGAGGAATGTGTTAGGAATTAATTAATTAGGTTAATTAACTATTAATCACTGCTATGTCGGTGCCACTTTTGGCAAGTGCCTCCTTTTTGTAACCGCCTTGTAAAATGGGTATAAATACCCCAATCTTCAATCAATAAAATAACTGTTCATTCATATATCTGTTTTCCATCCGCTCCTCTCTCTCGATTCTCTCTAACACGTTATCAGCACTTTTGCTCTCCGCTGAGAAATGGCCACAGGAGAAGAGAAGAATGCCGCCGATTCGATTAGCCATATTCCCGTCCACAGCAGTAATCAATGGACATGCTTCTGTAAAAGAGGAAAACTGGATCAGGACATTCTTCAATTTGTTTTTGTCTTCTTGTAACCAATCAAAAATCTAATAACAAATTCTGTTTTGCAAATCGCTTCATCCGGCGTATGCTCGTGGTGAGATGGATTGATCGCTACTCAAACGAAAATAGGAAGAAATTCTCAATCAAGAAGAATAGAAGAATCTGCATCAAGAACAAGAGAAAAGAAGGGAAGAAGCCCCAGCGAGCATACCTCGGCGTTTGGCGACGACGGCGTCCTCCACCTCTCGGATGCAGCATTCGACGCGGCGCTCCTCCCTCAGGCGGAGCACGACCACGGCGCGGCATACCCTCCAGTACAGGCGGCGTGTCCTCGGGGTAACCAATGGCCGGCGCCTAGAACGGCGATCTCCACCGCGGCGGCACCGGTAGCACGACCAGCCCACGACACTACAGCAACGTCGACGCAGCGGCCGAGGACGCAGCGACGCCAGGCAGCGCCCTCTGGCGCGCGGCGTTGGACGAGCAAGCCCTCTGGCGCCACCCGCCCACCCCCGGTCTCTCCTTCTCCCGGTTACACTGGTACGCAGCGGCGGTGCCGGTGCTATATGTGCATACCGAACAAATCGATTGATTCCAGATGCATTGAGGATGACGATAGGAAACCTTATCTCTTCGGCCATTTGAGACTAAGCCCTTCTAGTTTCTTTTATTGGCAAACAAGTCATCAGACTTAATACTACACGAACATAAGTCATCAGGCTTACTGTTTTAGATTTTGGTTAATACCGTAGTATATCATATCGGTTGAGTCCCAAGGCATTGAGCTATGTTGATGGATGGGTCGATCATTACATCTGCAATGGACCCCAATATACTAGTGCTATTCTTTACAATAAGTGCAACAACTATGTTTTGCAATTGATTTTTTTTCTCTTGCAAATCATGATGTAAATTCAAAACAAGGATTATACTTAATTTGACTACACCATATTATATTTTGGAATCACAAGGTATTGATGGCATCTACTGCGTAATTTGCAGATTATCCATCGGTACTGTGAGGTCTACATCTTGTCATTTTGATAAGATGACTACCTTCGAAGTGATCTTCCAAATATTAATATTATATGTGACTACCTCAATATATCATAAGGTAATACTGGCATCTACTGCAAATTTTGCAGACTATCCACTATTACTGCAAGGTCTACATCATGTCATTTTGACAGATGACTACCTTCAAAGTGATTTCATACATTTTGCATAACATAAGGTAATAGAATTATGAACATCTACTGACAAAAGTCAGACTATGTTTTTCTATTACTGCGAGATCTACACCGCATCCGGTGACTATCTTCAAAGTGTTATTCTATATAAATGAAGGTCTACACATATGAGTGTATAGCATCAGCTATCATAAAAAAAATTTGCTCCTCTGAAGCAATTGTTGTTGTTCACTAAAAAAAAGATATTTACTCTCATAATAAAAGGTATTCATGCATGAACACTACATGCTGAAACGGCAAATATTTTCCACAAATATCATTTATTCAAGCCTCATTTTGCTTTAATATGTCATAGACAACTATGCAAATATTTGCACATACCAGTAATTACCTTCTATTACATTGGTAAAATACATGGCAGTGGAGCCTATGTCACTATTTTAATTATAGTGTCGTCCATTCATTAAAATGGATACCACAATTTATAGAAATTGTTGAGTGTCTCAAACACTATTGATAGGTCCACATCAA